CAAGGTCAGCTGTTTGTAATCCATCTCGATGGGTCCAAGAGTTTCTAGCCATTGTACTCCTAATACCAGCTGGCATGCCGCAACTGGGAGAACGTAGTAGTCAACAGTAATGGGATGCCCTTGGATGGCGAGAGTGAGAACCCAACACTGCCCCACACATTCTATCTTTTCCTGGTTGGCGACTATAACTTGGAATTCTCTGTCTCGGTTCACTGGTAACCCGAACTTAGAGACTATGGCTTGATCAATGAAGTTGTGGGTGCTGCTGCCATCAATAAGCACAATCACGTTCTTGTTTTTCAGCTTACCTAGAACGCATATGGTTTGCGGGTGCTCAACTCCTGCAATTGCATGGAAGGAGATCTCAGGAATCGTTTCTTGGTTCTCTGCCTCTGCCTCGTCATTCTCCGTGTCCGCCTGTATGGGATCCTCGATCATGAATAACTGTGGACGTTCGCAACGGTGGCCAGCGGTGAACCTCTCATCACAGTAGTAGCATAGTCCCTTCTCGCGACGCTCTCGCGCCTCTTGGTTGGTGAGCCGCCGGAATGTTGCTGGTGGAGCGCTGGGAACCTGGTTCGTGCGCTGGGTTGGTGGAGGCCCGAGCACACCCGCCATTGGGTTGGGTGACCCCCTCTGGGATACTACGGCTGGTTGGGATCGAACTTGCTGGTTCGATTTCCGTTGTAGTAGGTTCCACTCCTCAATCAGTCGAGCAACTCCAATCGTATCTATCAAGGTTCTAGGCTGCTTAATCTTCACGTCTATATGGATGTCATAACAGCCAATGAGAAAACTCTCGGGCAGGCCGTTAACTCGATGGGAGAGCCGTTCAAAGGCTTCTTGATAAGCTGCCACCGTTGTAGTTTGCTTGAGGCGAGTTAAAGCTTCCGACGGATCCTCATAGTCGGTTGGACCAAATCGTTGTAGCACAGCCTTGGAGAATTCTTCCCATGTAAGKGGTCCGCGATGTTTTGTCAGCCACCGGTGCCATTGCAAGGCGATGCCTTCCAAATGGAAGGAAGCTAGTTGCACTTGTTGGTCTGRTACAATATTTTGGAAATCAAAATATTGCTCTGCCTTGTAAATCCAGCCGCTTGGGTCATCCCCATTAAATTTCGGGAATGACAATTTGACGTGTTGATGAGGGTGATCATGGACGGAGCTGGAACGGGAAGTATGTGGGTGTGAGGCCTCTTCATGAGCGAAGGGGTTGGTC